GTACAATGAGGAACAATAATAAATTTCACAAAATTGTTGTGCAATGAGGAAAAGCAATGAAATTATGATATACCACAAACAAAACAGATTAAATCTTTGTGCTGAGAAACTGATGTGACTCCATTTTTGAGAAACCAGCCTCTACCTCAAAGCAAAGCCTGTCCAAGGAAGGGAGTGTGACCCTTGTCCTTGGAAAAACCCACAGAGAGCTGCTAGGCACATACCCACCCTGCTGAGTTGTTTGTTTGCAAATAACAGGAGAGATCTGCAGCGCCAGTGTCCCTGACTCAGTTAGGCTAGGTGAGGACCCAGAGCAACGCCCTAACAACCACCAATCAGCATGAGACAGGGAAAAACACCTGGGATGCCAGATGACCCCCCCTCCCAGTAGTTTATGGTGGTTGGTAACATGTTAGGAAACCATGTAGTTTAGCACATACACCCCTCATGGCTTAAACCAATCAGTTCAAAGGAATCCCCCTCTTGTACTAACCAATCACACTTACCCAACTTGTCCCTGCCAGTGAATGTGTTAGTCAATGTTAAGAGTTGCTGTTTGACTTTCCCGTAGTGTGAAATGATTTGCTGTGTGATGTTGTGATGCATAGAGTATCCCCCCAAAACCTATAAAATCCCACTGAACAAAGGACCGGGACTCACTCCCTGGGACCGCTGCGTTAGAAACGGTTGTGAGTCGAGGCTTGAGCTTGCAATGAAGACTCTTGTGTGATTGTATCGGATTTGGCTCCTGGAGGTCTATTGGGGTCCCCTGAATCTGGCATTACAGTGCTTAGCAATGTATCTAAATAACTTGTGAGAAGCATACAAATAAATTTTCCTGACATTATTGTGTCCTTTATGGCACATTTAGTTTGTGTAATTTTTCCCATGGAACCAAACACCAGTTCCTATTGATTCTGGCTCCTATCTCTCATATTTGTCATAACCTATGACCTCAGCCATGGGTATCTGATCTTCAAGGACAAAGATGTTTAGCTCACTCTCTCCTTATCTAGCAATAATATCAAACATTCAGTTCAGACTGAATCAGGCATTATGGAAAATAAGGTACTTAGAACTTCATACTTGGGAATTTACCACCATGACATGTGATTTTCCTAATTCTTTTCTCAGGGTTTTTTTTCCTCCCCACCACCCTCCAAGCTATTCTGGGCCAAATGGATTTTGTTCTGAGCCATGTTTAACTAAGCTCAGTTTAGCCCTTTCCCCATTCTTGCCTCTTTCGTCATCTTTACAAAGCCCACTAACCTTCTCTTCTTTCTGGAGCCCTCGATACAGAACTCATCACTCCATTCATAAGCTATGAGATTTCTGGATAATTCTACGCTGAAAGATAAAAATGGTGATTTAAATGGGTGCAGCTGCCTACAAAATAACAAACTTTAGCATTCTAGCCCTGATGAGTGCCAGGAAATAAACCTAGGCACAGAGGAGACTCTCTAGAACTAATGGATAAATGAATAAAGGACCTGATTTTGTAAAGGCCGGAGAAAGCAAATGGTCTGTCCATCTCTGGACCTTGCCAGAGTTCTCACAAGAATCCAGTTCTTCCTGTTTCATTCAGTTCTCATAATGCTACACTACCCAGCTTCCAGTAATTTACTTTACCTTCCGAAGTCTTGCAAATGTTTATGCCTCTGGGGATTTGGCAGTTAACAATGCTGCAAAGCAAGTGACTCCTCAGGCCAGACTGGTATCTGACCAAGTTGGGCTCTTGGCAGATTTTTTTTTTTCTTTTTTTGGCAGAGCCGAAGATGTTGGCAGATTCTTTAGTTCCTCTTTCCTGCTATTAAGAAAGCATGTATTCGCTTTTAAAAATATCCTCTTCAATATCTTGTTAAATTAGACTAAAAAAGATTTGGATGATATTAGCCAGGCAGATGGGTTTCTGATAATACATATTTTTAAGTACTTGTAATGTTTTCTTAGTATAAAAATAATAAATGTTAATTATAGAATATATAGCTAAAACAAAAAGAAGGACATTAGAAATTTCATTATCCCAACCTGCCCCTAAGTTAACCATATAACTATTTGGTATATCATGCATCCAGTTGTGTGTGTATATATATATGTGGTGGTGAGGTGTCAGAGAGGGAGAGAGAGAAATATCAAGGTGACCTCCCCAGCCCCCACCTTGCCATATATGTACCTTAAAGTGAATGACATTCCATGGGGAAAAAATAGTAGTGTTAGGGCAGAGAAACAAGAGATGGATGTGACTGAGGAAAGATGCTAGTGATCTACAAAGGGGGATTTAATTCAAAAAGGGTTAATCCCAGTATCCTACTGTCCAACCACAGAGTTCTTACTGGTTCTAAGCCGCACACTTCTTTCTTCCACCTACTTCTCATCTTTCTTGCTATTTCAGTCTTTTTGTCTTGTTTCTTAATCTTTCATAAACATTGGACAAATATCTATCTGGCCTTATCATAAGTGGGAGTACCAATCCCAATTCTCCAACATTTCTATATGCCAGTAGAGAGCCATAAATGAGCCATGAATATAGTCAAATAAGATGGGCTCACGGTGACTCTCTGAGAAGAGACATTCAAAAGATGAGGTTCCAAAGACAGCATCTGGGACAAGATCCATATACTTTCCTTAAACGGATAATAAAGGAATCATGCAACTAATTTATTCCTAAGAGATGCATGTGGAATCCTCTTTGGGTGAAATCTTATATTGTCTGCAACTTACCTTAAAATCCATGAGGAACCGGGAGAGAAGAAGAGAGAAATACAGTGTGGCAAATGCAACATGTAAATAACGGCTGACTCTCTCAGAAAATATATATGTATGGCTGTTTTTCTCATGCCTTTTTCAATTGTTCTGCAGGTGAACGGCTTTGCTCCACCAAGCCCTTCACTGCCATGATATTCAGCCTCACCACAGGCTCAGAAACAATGGAGCCAAGTAAGCATGGACTGAAACTTCCGAAACCATGAGCCAAATAAATCTTTTCTCCTTTAATTTTTTTTCTCATGTTCTTTGTCACAGCAATGGAAAACTAACACACAATATGCCTATTTTTGCAAGAATTTTTTTTGTCTGCATTCCCATGTTGAATTGTCAAGCTGCGAGAAAACAATCTTTTTTTTAGCAGTGTTTAAAAATTAGTTACACATGACAGTAGAATGCATTTTGACACATCATACATAAATGGAGTATAACTTCTCATTCTTCTGGTTGTACATGATATAGAATCACACTGGTCATATAATCATATATGTACATAGGGTAATAATGTCCAATTCACAGAATACAATCTTATATGCAGAATTTTTTTTGTCCAGTGACCCAAACCTAGATGTTTAAACATTTTTAAGTGACAATTACAATTATTTAATATTCCCTTAACTTTGTAACGAAGGTCAAACTCTCACCTTTAATTGCAAGGTATTTAAAGTAGATACGTTTTCTACAGCATTTAATCAGGTGAGAATTTAATCAGGTAAATTTAAGTGGATAATAATCAAGGTATGTAACTGGGTGAGAAGTTGCAAGGGCACCTTCAGTAAGGCTGTTCTTTGGCCACATTTTCCCAAAGTGAAGCAAAACAGTCGTGCTGCAGCTTAAAAAAAAACAACAAAAAAAAAACCACTCTGGTCAAATATATATAGATACTATATGTTATATCTCTTATCTTAAAGATTACCCATTACACAGTAACAATTAAAAGTGTTATTCTCATTTCTTCTTTGATTCATTCTTCATTTAAGAGAGTATTGGTCAATCTCCATGTGTTTATGTAGTTTCTGTTCTTTTTCTTCTTTGATTTCTAACTTCATTCCATTATGATCTGATACCATCATATGGGATTATATTGATTTTTTCTAGCTGCTATGATTTGCTTTGTGGCCTAGAATATGGTCTATTTTGGAAAAAGTTCCATGCACAGCTAAGAAGATAAATTTAATTGTTTTGGGGTGAAATATCCTATGAATGTCCATTAAGTCTATTTGACTTATAGTGTTATTTAGGCTAGAGATATCTTTATTGATTTTATGTTTCGATGACCTATCTATTGGTATAGAGTGTATTGAAATTACTCTATTATTTTGTTGGGGTCTATGTGAGATTTAATGTTATGGAGTATTTTTCCCATGTAATTGGGTATGTTGACATTTGGGACATAAATGTCTATTATTATTATATCTTTTTGTTGGATTTTCCCCCTTACTATTCTTGTAAGGACAAATGAGTTAAGGCACTGAAGATAGCAGGAAACTGTTTTATTTGGCTGCAGCCAGGTTCGGAGGGCACAGCTTTGGCTGTAGTCAATCGATACCCTGAACCCCAAGTTTAGGTAGTTTCAGATTATACCCAGCATGTAAGGGGAGGGGCTCACAAGTTGACAGTCTGCAGATGTTCACATAAAAGCAACTTTTTTTCACTGTTCTGGGAAAGTTAACCCTTCAAGGACAACACCTGAGAAGGGGAGAGCTTCTTCTCCCCTTTATTTCCTCCCCTTGTCATCTGTTATCATGGAGCCCAATTGGTAACTTGGGCCAAGTAAAATAGGGCGACACAAAAATAGGAAGTTTATCTACACTGAACTCTTTTGCAGAGACTCTTTTGCTGACAGTCCTAAAAACAGCCATAGTGAAGATTTCTGGAGAAGCCCAGTTAAGACTTTTTTGTGGAGAAAGGGGGTGCCACTTCACTATGATTTAGTGCCTTCTTTGTCTCTTCTGATTAATTTTTGCTTGAAATCTGCTTTGTCAGATATGAGAAAAGCTACTCCTTCTTGTTTTCTTGGATCATATGCCTGAAATATTTTTTGCCATTCTTTTATCTTCAGCCTGTGGATGTCTTTGCCTATAAGTTGAATTTCTTGTAAATACCATGTAGTTGGATCTTGTTTTTTGATCCATTCTTCTTTTCTATGTATCTTAATTGGGGAGTTGAGACCTTTAATGAAAGGAAAGAGAGGTACTGGGAACTGGATGAGCAAGAAATGAAAGATAGACCAGGCAGAGATTACACATGAGAGTTTATTTGTCAGAGCTGACAAATAAAGGCCATCTCTCCATAGATGGAGAGAGGAAATACAGACTTGGGTTCCATGACTTTTATGGGGCAGGCTCAGGGATTAGAGCTGGGTGGGCCCTAATGCAGGAGGTAAAGGGTTGGGTTGGTATGAGGGAGTGGTAAGCCTTTCTCAGAAATGCCCTTGGGTGGGAAAGCTAAACTCTTTCTTAAGATGGCAGCTGTCACTTAAAATGGCCATCCGGATGCTAAGCAAGGACCTTACATTCCCTCCTTTTTTGTTTTTTATTGGGCCCCTTAAGGGTCAGGGACGTAGATCAATCTTCTATAGTTTCTTCCTGCTGGGAAAGGGCAGCATCTGGACCCTTGTTAGGGGAACGGGGTGTCACTGAGGCAATGGGAATGGTCAAGAGGTGCCGGTCGATGCTGACTCCAGATGGCCCAATTTTGGTGAGGGTTGGAAGTCCTGTAACAGAAGCTGGTTCATGGTTTGGTTAGGGATCCTTTGACTCTGGTCTTGAATAAATCTAATGATGCGGGGACAAGCATTAGCCAAAGGCCTATGACAAGGAGAGAGGTTGGGAAAGGAAGTGCCCACTGGGTTACTTAGCTTCCATTCTTCAGTTCCAATGGCAGTGGGAAACTCTGAGGCCTGAAAGAGAACAGAGATAAAGGGGCATTAGTAATTGAGGTTCCCTTGGGGGTAAGGAATCCGTGCTCCTTCCAAAGAGCAGAGTGGGAGAGAAATATGTGGAAAGCGTATTGGAGTCAGGGTAGGCATTGAGCGAGGCTCCCTTTGCTAAAGTGAAGGCTCTGAGGAGGGAAACAAGTTCAGCCTGCTGATTGAGTGTATTATTGAGGAGGGTAGCTGCTTGCACACCCTAGATCCGAGGAACTCCCTCCTGAAGGAAGGAGGAGCCACCTGGGATCCATGTGTATGTTGCCTGGAGCAAGGGGCCTTCCTGTATGTGGGAGGGGTGTGGAAGAAACTCCTCCAGAGTTTCAATGCATGAGTGGGTAAGAGGAGAAGAGATGGAAGAGTCCTGAGGAGTGGGTAGGAGAGTAGCAAGGTTTAAAGGTGAGCACATGTGGAAAGTAAGATGGGATCTTCCACCAGGAAAACCTGTAGAGATAAGAGGCTATAGAGGGGTAAAGAATGTAAGCCCTGTAAGCAAGGAGTTCCTTTAGGTGATGGGGAGCAAGGATGGTGAATGGGGCCCCAAAGGCAAATTTCTTTGACTTGTTAAGGAGAGGCTGCGGTCAACGTTGGTAGGCAAGGGGCCCAACAGTAGGGTCAAGAATCTTTGATAGATAAGCCATAGGGGTAAAAGTTGGCCCCAGCATGTGTCCAAGGACCCCTAGAGCAAATCCCTGCTTTTTAGCCATGTAAAGGAGAAATGGGCATGTGAGATCTGTCCTTTGTATTCCAATGTTAGCTTCGTTGTGGCCTTGGCCAGAGAGATTGCTGCCTAGGGCTTTACAAGGTAGGAGAGTTCTGGGTCCCTTGTGTGTCTAGAAGTAGGGTCTCTGGAGGAATCCAGAGCTTTATTGGCAAGTAGAAGCTGGGCGGGAGAGCAAGAGGAGCAAAGGGAAGGCTTTGTGCATAAAGAAGAGTGCTAGGTGAATAGAAGAAAGTGTGTCATAATTGTCCTGGGCCCTCAGGCCAGGATCCCTAAGTAGCTCAAATCCCCAGAGGGAAGAGCAAAGCTGAAGGGAGAATGTGACAAGTCACTGGCATCAATGAAAGAAAAGTGGCTCAGGACTAGACACACATACACACACACACACACACACACACACACACACACCTGGTATAAGGCGCAGGTTTATTGTTAGGAGCCTGAGAAGGCTGCTCTGCAAAAAGAGAGGGACAACAGCAGCAAGGAGGGAGAGCAGGTATTGTTGTTGGGCCAGAAAATGGAGGGTTTTTGAGACAGATGTGAATGGGCTTGTGGTATGAGGCAATAGAAGGACTTGAAACATCCCAGACAGAATAGGGGAAGGTGCTGAGGTTAGGGTGAGGAACAGGGCAGCAGCAGGCGAGTCTGGATGGAAGCATATATGAGGGGAGAAGGAAAGCATAGCTTCCAACTTTGTGAGGTTGTCCCTTCCCATAAGGGGAACAGGGTACTGTGGAATGACCAAAAAGGAGTGGGTGAAAACTAGAGAGCCAAAGGCTCAAACAGGAATAGATGTTTGAAAGGGCTGGTAAGGTTTTCCCTCTATCTCGACAATAAAGGTCATAGAAGGAATGGTAGGCCCCCAGAACTCCTTGAGGATCGAATATATAGCCCCTGTATCTAGGAGGAAGGAGACAGGCCTACCTGAAATATGCAGAGTTACCCTAGGTTCCTGCAGAGTGATGGTAGTTGTCAGGTGATGGGGACCTGGATTCGTCAGTCCTCTGCAGCCAGTCCTAGGAGTTGGAAAGGGGAACCAGAAGGGCCAGAAGGCGGGGGCCGCTATGGGCTCAGGGACAGTCAATGGCCCAGTGTCCCCCCTGATGGCATTTAGGACAAGGCCCTGGAGGATTGTGAGTCTTAGGACATGTACGAGCCCAGTGACTTGGGGATTAAATCCCAATTTTAATCCCAATTGGGAATTAAAACAGGATCTGGGTGGTCCTAAGGGACCCTTCCATGGGCCATTGGAACCAGGGACAGATGCTAAGGCCAGATGGATAGCTTAGGTGAGCATCTGATATTTCTGCTTCTGGGCCTTCTCTTCTTTCCTGTTATACACCTTAAAGTCCACTTCCAGAACCTCAGCTTGGGGAGTTAGGGGCCCCTTCACTTTAGTTTGGCTTTAATATCAGGGAACCTCTAAGAGAAAAAGTAGATCATTAGTAGTTGTCTGTAATCTGGATTCTCAGGGTCCAGATTAGTATGTTGTGATTAAAAACCTTGGTCAGGTGACCTAAAAATGATGAAGAGTTTTCATTTTTATCTTGGATGATTTCCTGGAGCTTTTCATAATTGATAGTCTTAGGGGCTGCCTTTCTTAGTCCTTCCATAAGGAAGTAATAAATTGGTTTCTACTAGTTATTCCTCCAGGTGAATTCTAATCCCAATTGGAGTCCCAATCAGGGACTGCTTCAGTCCCAATCGGATGGGCAAGGGAGGTCTGATGCACCTCAGCAGCATAATTTCTAGCTTGCTCCCAAACTCACCTGCACTCCTCAGGCAGGAGGATCATATGGACATGGTGAAAGGTCAAATCACATGATTGGATCAGATATTGAAACTCTTTGATATTTGTGGTTGGACTTGAAGTATAGGACTCAAGCTGCTTTTCTCTCTGTGAAAGATCTCATAAAGAGAAAGGCACATGAACCAGGATTACACCATCTACCTCATCCACCTCATGTAGAGGACACAGAGATGCAGAGTGGGCAGCGGCAGCCTGTGAACGTGTGGAAGGAGGAGAGAAGTATGGAGGGGCTGAGGGGACAGTAGCTACAGTGGCCTCATCAGAAAGAGAATTGTAATATGGTGGGGACTCATCTGCTTGGTCAATGGAGGAGTTCTGGGTAGAATCTTCTGTCCCTTTGGAAGCAGGCGTGGGGGAGGTGAGAGCTAAGACTTGTACGGGAGAGCAAGAGGTGCACAGAGAGGGCTTAGAATGTAGAGAGGAGAAGGCCTGAATGTATGATATCTCTTTCCATTTTCCTGAACACCCACAATAGTTGAAAAGATCCCTGATAATACTAGGATCTAGAGTGATGTTAAGCGACCCTTTAGAGTTCAAAGGATATTGAAGCCAGATCTGATTGCATAAGTGGATAAGTTTTGGGGGATTTAGGTCCAGGATTAGAGAGAGAGAGAGACAGAGAGAGAGAGAGAGAGATACCCTAGGTTATCCAGGAGGCAACCAAGAGGACTATGGGAGGAAATGGATAAGGAGCTGTTCATGGTGATATGTAGGAGGTGAGTTTAGAGGTGGGGTATCCCCCGGTCTCTAGTATCACCCAGTCAAGAGGACAGTTATACTCAGGGGGTTATCACCATCACTGGGTAAGCATCAGGGGTAGGGCCCACAGAGCCACTTGGGCACCCAGCCAGGACTATGTAGGGGTATAAGCCGTAGAGATTAACTCAAGGACAAGAGGTCTCACCAGGAACAACTCCCAATCAACCTCAGTGGTTTTTCCTCAAAACCCAGGACCCAAATAATAAAAGACCACCTATGGACTCAGTCGACAGTAAGGATCAGCCATAGTTGTGAAAGCTGTGGCTGGAGGTGTCCCCAACCACACGGTAACCCTGGGAGTGCCTGACAATCGGCAGTCACTTCATGGGACTCGTAGGTCATTTAAGGTCAACTGAAAATAGGGGTCTTATCTGATATGTCTGGTGGTGGGTGCAGAGAGGGTATTCAGCAGAATGGAGGTCCTGGTCCCACAATGGAATTCGGGGTAGGGAGCTGGGAACTTTCAGTGGCCCTTGGAGAGGGGAGTGGGCACACTGGGGAACCTGATCCCGGGTTTACGCACCAATGAAAGGAAAGCAAGGAACTGGGAGAAGGGCAAGTGAGAAATGAAAGATGGAGACCAAGCAGAGATACACTTGAGAGTTTGTCAGTACTGACAAATAGAGGCCACCTCTCCATAGATGAAGAGAGGCAATATAAGCTTGGGTTCCATGATTTTTATGGGGGCAGGCTCAGGGATTAAAGCTAGGCAGGTCCTAATGCTGGTGGTGAAGGGTTGGGTTGGTATGGGGGAGTGGTGTGCCTTTCTCAGAAACACCGTTGGGTGGGAAACTTTTTTTTAAATATTTTTTTTAGTTGTAGGTCAACATAATATTTTTATGTAGTGCTGAGGATCGAGCCCAGTGCCTCGCGCATGCCAGGCGAGCACTCTACCTCTGAGCCCCAGCCCCAGCCCTGGGAAAGCAAAACTTTTTCTTAAGATGGTAGCTGTCACTTAAGATGGCCATCCAGATGCTAAGCAAGGACCTTACAATTAACATTCAGCGTTAGTGTGAATATGTGTTTATGATTTCCTGCCATTTGGGTTTTTTGCTATGTTTTATCCTGTCTTGATTCTCAGTGGGTTATTCTTCTATTTAACTTGTTTGGGAGGTTTGGAAATTGCTTTTTAGTTCCTCTATATACAGTTTATCTTTGAGTATTCTTTGTAGTGCTGGTTTGGTGCTCATAAATTATTTCAGTTTATTCTTATCATGGAAAGTTTTTTTTTTCTCCCTCAAATTTGAAACTGAGCTTTGTGAGGTATAGTAAACTTAGCTGGAAGTTGTTTTCTTTTAGGGTTTAAATATGTCATTTCAGGCCCTCCTTTATTTTAGGATCTGAACTAAGAAATCAGAAGTAAGCCTTATTGGTTTGCCTCTAAATGTGATGTGATGTTTCTCTCTTATGGCTTTTAATAGTCTTTCCTTATTTTCTATGTTAGGCATTTTGATTACAATATGTCTTGGTGAGCTTCTTATTTGACTAGGTCTATTTGGGGTCCTATAAGACTCCTATATATGGATGTCTATCTCATTTATGATATGGGTAAAATTTTCTGAAACTATCATTGAAGATGTTCATTATGCCTTTGCTTTGTATCTTCTTATACTCTTCTATCCCAATAATTCTCAGGTTTGGACTTTTAAAGTTGTCCCAGAGCTCTTGTATATTCTGGTAATTTCTATAATTTTTTTCCTTTATTATTTCCTGTGTACTCAAGATCTTATAACCTGTCTTTGATGCCTGCAGTTCTGTCTGCAAGAGCTGAGATTCTATTTTCTATGTAATCTAATCTGTTAGTGATGACTTCAAATGAGTTTTAAATTTGGTTGATTGTGTATTTCGTTTCTAGGAGTTCTGCTTGGTTTCTTTTAACCATTTCTATTTCTTTATTAAAGTGGTCTTTCATCTCCTGTAATTTCTCTCTTAATTCCTTTCTTAGGTCTTCTTTTTGTTCATTGAACATTTTGATAATTTTTTTTTTTTTTTTTATAATCTGTCTCTGGGTTTTCACCTACCTCACTGTTGGTAGGATCTTCTTTTAGGGATTGCGGATTTTGAGGGGAGATTCATGTTTTCAGAACTCATGGACTTTCACATCAATTGAAGTGGATTCCTCTCCTTCCCCCCCACCCCCATATGTCCTTTGTAATTATTTTATTTGTTCTGGGACTTCTCTCTGTTTTTGATGTATACATAGATGCAGAAGAGTGGGACCTGAATTCCTTCTCTAATTGTTACTCCTTGGTTCCTTGTTGATGGTTTGGGGCTTTTGTCTCCTTACTTCTTTGAGTTGCAGTAATGTCAGGGAATGTTGTTCAGCAGCAGAGCCTCTAACATGTGAACATTTAGTGTCCCTGTAAGTTCTCAGCATCTCACTGAATTGGGTGAAACAAACAGTAGTAATAATCATCACAAACAACAAACATTACACAATTTTAAAGTAAACATGCAGATCCTGCTATGACATTTCAACATTAATTGCCACCAATAAAGTGGAATGGTGGGTTCAGCAGTTATCAACAGTGGAAACAATAACTGTGAACTAGCTCTGGCTTTAAAGCAAAAAGCCGGTGTTCACTATATCATCCATAGCAGTAATGATTGTATTAGCACTAATGGTGGGGGAGTTATAAACCAATTAATTCTAAAAGATGGTGAAAATGATACCGGTGATGAGAATCAATCAGGGCTGAGTTCCCCATTTCCCCAGCTATTGAAGACTGAACACCTGAGAAACATCAAGGTGAATATAGAAAGTGAGTTTTATTTAAAGGCTAGAAGAGAGATAGTCTTTTCCACCGAGAAGGGGTCCCAGAGCTGGGTGTCCGTGGGAGGGAGTGAATCTTGTTTTCTTATAGTTTCCAGGTTTCTTACTTCTCATGCCCCTCCTTCTATCCTGGGCATGCAACAAAAAGGCAAGAAATCTAGGGGTATTTCTCCCCATTTTACATTGAAAGAAGCAGGATGGGAGCCACCCAGTGAATACTCATTAACAATTCCCTCCTGGGAGGAACAATGTTCTGGAGGCAGGCGACTTTGGCCACAGGTGAGGGGGATGCATCCTGAAGGTATTAACATCCTATTCCTTTGAACCAGCTTCCATCTCTCCAACCAGATCATCTATCTACACTGACTGCCTGACCTTTGTTCTTGCTTCAAAAATACTGTTTAGGAGAAAAGGAAATGTGTTAGGAAGTTAGAAAAGATTTTACTCTTTCAAAAAGTGAACAGAGAGAATGCAGAAGAGATGTAGCAGGTCATGTTGATGCAGAAGGAAGGGAAAACAGAAGAAGCAAGGTGTTGGAGGGAAGAGAGAATTTGTTAGCAGGAGAAGATAAGAGAGAAGGAAAAACAAGAGAAATAAACAAGTGAAAATAATACAAAACTATACAGAAATATACACTACAAAAAACTTGAACCCTCAAAAGACAATGCTCAGAAAATGGAATTACATAAGCCAGGCACAGTGGCACATGCCGATAACCCCAGAGATTTTGGGAGGCTGAGGCAGGAGGATTTCGAGTTTGAGAACAGCCTCAGCAATTTAGCAAGGCTGTAAGCAATTTAGGGAGTGAAGGACAAAGAGAATAAATTCCAGGGCACTCTCCAAACTACAGCTGTTCCCCCACTCACCTCCTGCCACCCATCTGTAGGGAGATGTCTGTGGCAAATTGGAGCTTTTGTTGTTTAGAAGCCCAGGCCTCAGCCTGAGGGAAGGCAGGAAGGGAAAATGGGAGAACACCAAGTCTCACCAACTCCTCCATGATCTGGCTCTGTTAAACCCTAGAAAATTCAGACCCTTGTTGTAGTCCATCACCATTTTCTCTCCTGAAAATATGCCCCTCTGCTGCTTAACAAAAGCATCACTGATCCATGGAGGTCTGTCCCCCTTTAAGTTGTTTTTGTTTCCAGGGAGACCCTGTCTCAAAACAAAAGAAAAAAAAAAGTGCTGGAGATGTGGCTCAGTGATTGATAAAGCACCCCAGATTCAATTCCCACTACCAAAATAAATACTAGTAATTACATTAATGATGCTGCCAGTTACTGATGACGAGTTAGGCTTCGTCACATGTTGAAGTATAACATTAGAGAAGCAGGCCAAGGCGAGCATGAAAAGCACGGTTTATTTATAAGGGGATAATACAGACTTCTCCTGGGAGGGAGAAGGGGGGGGCGCATTCACACACACACACACACATACACACACACACACACACACACACATAGAAGGAATAAAAAAATTAAATTCGAAAATTTTAAAAATATGTTAATATATTTTTAAAATAAATTTTAAAAATTAGTGAAGACTGAAGAAACCTTCTCCACTGAGGTGGTCAAAATAGTTGTCTGTGTCCATTAGTCTTTCTTTCAATTCCTTGTATGTACTGAGAGAGGGAGCAAGGAGTGGGATAAGTTAACTCTTTTTGTTTTTGTGTTGCTCTAAGAGTTACCAGTTGTGGTGTCTTAAGATTGAAGCTGTTGGATGTAAGAGTCTGCTTTGCTTCTCGCCCGTATGATGTGGGATGGGTTAGGACATATTGTCAGTTGGCATTTTGTCCATTTGGACCAGTCTGATAACACTCCTCAGGTATTGCTTCTGGAGCTTTCTGTGAGGGGAGTTCCAGCAAGTGGGGCTTAGGTCTAATCAGGCCTCAGGGGTTTTGCTGTGTTATGGGCCAGGCTATATGGGCAATGACTAAACAGACTCCATTTTGACCTGAGACTCCATGTCATGTAAGAAATGCTTCTCCCATGGGAATACCACGCCTCTTTACCCATCAACATTTGCTTAGTAGAGCATGTTTGCCAACATAAAATGGCAATTCTTATACAATGTAAAATTTCTCTCTTTGGTTCCCATTTTTCTTGGACAATGTACCTTGTCAGAGACTGATTGTCTACACATTCTTTAATTTGTACTCAACTAGGGTCATTTTGACACACTTCCCCTTCTGCTTATTATTTTAGATCTCACGATGTTTGTTTATGGTCTTGAATCACGACAAGAGCCACTTATGATTAATGGACTGACATGCTTTACTTATGGTATAAAAGGTGTACTCAAACAGAGGAGCCGAAGGGTGCAGACTTGTAGCCTGCTCCTTGGCCTACCAGCTGGTGAATCTGGACCACCAGCTGGTGAATAAATGTTCCCTCTCCTGCTTTAAGATCCACTCGGTGATTTGTTGGGTGGCACCTTCTTTAGGGAGACTAGCTTGACCTGTCCCTAGGGCTGGATGGTATTTGATCTCTTCTGTAGTTCTGGTTCTCAGGAGCCTCCCAAGAAATCCAATCATAAAATGGGGTGGGGGCAATCTTCCTCTCACTGCTGTCCAGGAGCCCAGCCTTCTGGGGATTAGTCCCTGAGCATGTTCACTGTCCTGCTCCGACTCCCAGACACTTCAGCTGGTCAAGTGAGCCACCAGACACAAAGGAGAAGCAAGTGGGACTCCCCTTCGCCCTTCCACGTGGAAGTCCCCTAGGTATAGCCTACTTCTCACTGTTTCACTCTCCACCAGGCCCAGCCTGGATCTCTAGATAGGCACTTGCCAGGAAATTGTGGCTGTGCTGTTTTTTTTTGTCCCCCAGCCCCACCCTGATCCCACAGATGCCAAGGCAGCCCGCTTGCCCCAGGATGGCTCCCGCATCATCTCTCTGCAGCCAGTTGAGATATGGAACGTGCGTTTTAAGTGCCATCCCGTTGTTGCAGCCTCTGATCAGCTAAGATTAGGCAGCACATTTTATCTTAGGCTTTAAGACTGTGTTGCCCGTCCCTCTGCCTGAGGTGAATCCCCCCTGGCACCTGCGGGGTAGCTGCCTTGGCTTCAGTATATTCTTTCTGATTTGCTTATTGTACTCAAATTTCTGAGTCCTTAAGCTGGTTTGAGTGTCCAATATTAAAATTTTAATGAAATCCCTCTCTCACCTACCTCACTGAGGAGCTGTCCACCGGCTGCTTTTGTCCCACACTTCAGCGCAGCTTGAGATGCGGCCTTCCTTTACTCTGCCATCCTCCAACTTCCTGTAGGTAAATTTTAAAAGGCAAACAATTTTACTGCTTTGCTTCTTTAAAAAACGTATTTCTCTGGGCTGCGGTTGTAGTTCAGTGGTAGAGTGCTTACCTAGTATGTTTGAGGCACTGGGTTCGATCCACCACATATAAATAAATTAAATAAAGGTATAAAAATACAATAACATGGGGGCTGGGGATGTGGCTCAAGCGGTAGCGCGCTCGCCTGGCATGCGTGCGGCCCGGGTTCGATCCTCAGCACCACATACCAACAAAGATGTTGTGTCCGCCGAGAACTAAAAAAAAATTAATATTAAAAAAATTCTCTCTCTCTCTCTCTCTCTCTCTCTCCCCTCTCTCACTCTCTCTTTAAAAAAAAATTACAATAACATTATTGAAAATATATGTCTCCATAAAGCAAAACTTTCAACACTATATTATGAATTTATAGCAGGCAGTTGAGATATATATAGATATGGATATCTATATATATCAAGACTAAAATAAAAGATAGTGAATCAACAAGTCTACTCTATTGAAAAATTAGTATAATGTTGATTTTTAGTAGATATTAAGGGTAATTATAACCCATGAAGCAACCACTAAAAATTTAATGACAAGTGGTGGCAAAAAAAAAAAAAAAAAACTAATAGAGTAACTAAAATGGAATTCTAGAAATAAATTCATTTAAGAACCTGCCCCCCCATACAGTAGGAAAAAAGAAACAAAACAAAACAAAACAAAACAGATGGGAAAACTAATAGTAAAATCAAACTACATTAATAATTAAGTTAAAGGTAAAGTAAGCGGTATTAAAAGAGATCGTAGACAGATTTTTTTAAAAACAAGACCCTCTATGTTGCTTATTAGAAATGGAAATATAAGTAGATTGACATGAATGGTAGAAAAGATATAATATCCAAATAGTAAGCATAAAAATATGGAGTAGCTGTATTCATATCAAGTAGCACAGAGGTGAAAACAAATACTATTTTCAGAAATAAGGAAAGGTAAATGAAAAAAGATCAATAAAAAAAGATCAAGTACAATTGGAGTTTGTAAATATTCCTCTTTCAGCAATTGCTAAATAATTAAGACAAAAAATTAATAAAAGCAGACAAACTCAATAACATTATATCAATTTCCTTGAGTTAATTGATGTCTATAGAAGAATACATACAGCAACTGCAGAATTCATATTCTTTTTAAGTGCATATGACATGTTCAGCATGATAAACCACATACTGGGCTATAAAACAAGTCTCAAAAAATTTATAAAGATTGAAACCATATAGAATATGCTCTCTGATTAGAATGGAATTAAATGGAAAATCAGTAAGATATTTAGAAAAACCTATTGTGGAAATTGACACACTTATAAAGAAGGGAAATTAGAAATCAATGAAATAGAAAAGAGAAAACAATTAAGAAAATGAACAAAGCCCAAAGTTTGTTCTTTGAAAAAAGCAAACTAATAAATGCCTAGGTAGACTAATCAAAATCAAATAGAAAAAGTTGGTAATATCGGGAATGAAAGAGAGAATATTTTTATAGATCATACAGATTTTGAAAAGAGAAGGGAATGTAAGTAATTTTACTCCCACAAATTTATTCCCACAGAAACAGAAATCCTTATGAAAATATTAGCAAATCTAAATTGGGTCTAGTGGTATGCACTTAAAATCCTAGCACTAAGGAGGCTGAAGTGGAAAGATCAGTTGAGCCCGTGAATTCAAGACCAGCCTGGGCAACACAGTGAGATTTTGTCTCCCAAAACAACAACAACAAAAAACCAACAATACTAATTAACCAATATATAAAAAGGATAATGCATAACGATCAAAGGGAGTTTAGAACGGCAAAGTTGGTTCAATATGCATAATTCAATGTATGCCACCAAATTAACAGAATCAGTAGAAAAACAAGTGATTATTTCAGTAAATGAAGAAAAAAATCATTTAACACAATTTAACACTCATGACTTAAAAAAAAGAACTCAGGCCATATGCAGTGATGCTCGCCTGTAATTGTAGGTGCTTAGGAGGCTGAGGCAGAAGGATCATGAATTCAAAGCCATCCTCAGCAATGGCGAGATGCTAAGCGATTCAGTGAGACTCTGTCTCTAAATAAAAATACAAATTAGGGCTGGGGATGTGGCTCAGTGCTTGAGTGGCCCTGAGTTCAATCCCCGGTACCACTCCCCCTCCCCCACCCCCCCAAAAAAAACAACACCTCAACAAATTAATATGCCTCAATCTGATGAAGGTCATGTATGACATCTTTAATAATAAAATATTGAATGTTTTCCCTCTGTTATAGTGAATAAACTAAGAATGTCTGCCTATTCCAATTGACTGGTGTTTGCAACAGTTTGAAATATATCAAAAATTTAAGATAGACTATTTGATTGAAAAAAGGCTAGGTAAGCGAAATATTATAAGACAAATGTACCAAATTGTTAATCATAGACTGTGAGTGGTGGCTGTGTGCATATTTACTCTATAATTCTGTCTGCTTTTCTGTATGCTTAAAAATGTTTATAAGATGTTGCGGGGAAAGGCTGCAAGATCCCATATTAGAAAACTTGTTTTCCAAACTTCTTTACTCATCAACAACAACAATAAACAAACAAACAAACAAAAACCACAAAAAAACTCTTAAAGAAAATGAAATAAACATTACAGAGCATGCTCTGGAAAACAGCTCCTATGTAGATTTATTTCTGACTCCTTTGAATATTTAAAATAAGAATGGCGTATTATTTATTCACTGCTGCATAGAAAAATGTCCCGAAATGCTGTGGCTTAAAATGACAACTATTTATTATTTCTGTGAGATGGTTGGAGTTCAGCTTGGTAGTTCTTTTGCTGACCTCGCTTGGCATCTGAGCTCAGCTGGGGCTGGAACATTCAAGAAGACTTTTTACCCTCTAAGATCTCTCTGTGGGTGACTTTAGTCCTTTAGTGGACTCTTCTAGACTTCCTCAAAAGCATAATGGCTAGACTCCAAGAGGAGAAACCAGAATCTAATGTTTCTCTAAATGCTTGGGCTCAGATTTTCAGAATGTCACTTATTCCACATTCAATTATTAAAGGAAGACAAAAGGTCAATCCCAATTCAAGAGAAGACAGACTTCACCTCCCAGGATGAGGAACAGCACATACGTATCTGGAGAACTGATGGTGGCCATCTCTGGAGATATCTATCTGTAAGCGCAAAATGATGGATACAGACCTCAACAAATCAAGGAAGCCGCTTATTCATTGGGGGGCTCAGGCAACATTTTCTGGATGAGAAAGTGGCTGTCAGTTACAGAGGGAATTTTAGTTTCATAGGGTACAATGAGGGTGGCTTAATCATTGGATACTTTGGACATACCATTCAGACAGGTAAAAAAGTTGTATAGGTTACACTCAGGAGGGCAGTTGAAAAGGTTAAAACTCATTGTTATTTGAAGAGATGGCATTATGGGCCAGGCTCTGTGGGCAATAACCAAACAGACTCCATTTTACCCATGTCATGTAAGAACACTTCTCCTGTGAGAAAACTCTGCCTCTGCCATCCTGATCCTGCTTAACACACTCTGCCTAGAAATGCAAATGTTTCTGTTCTTCTTATACAATGTAAAATTGTTCTCTTTTTGGTTCCCATTTTTTCTTGGACAATGTACCCTGTCAGAGAATTGTTGCCTAGACATTAGGAACCATTCTAATGGAACCAGAATTTCCATTCAAGGCAAAGATGTGTGTGCCTTACTAAAGATGCTTAAAATTTATAAATGAATAGATGGTTATTTATAATTCAAAGCAATCTTTTTTTGGGGGGAGGGGGTACCAGAGATTGAACTCAGGGGCACTCGACCACTGAGCCACATCCCCAGCCCTATTTTGTATTTTCTTTAGAGACAGGTTGCTTAGCACCTTGCTTTTGCAGAGGATGGCTTTGAACACGCGATCTTCCTGTCTCAGTCTCCCGAGCTGCAGGGATTACAGGCATTTACTACCGTGCCTGGTAGCAATCTTTGCTTTCTAGATCACAGAGATTTTCTAAATAGCAGGTTCCAAAATGTACTTGTAAGGATGGAAAAACAGGTTTTCCTACCCATCATAAAGTATCGTGGCTGACACCCCAGTACCCAAGGTCAGGTTAACAAGAGAAAAGCACAACAAATCTATTTGATCATAATTTCAAGTGGCACAGGAACTTTCAGAAATGAAGACTTAAAGGCCTAGGGTGAACTATCTGTTTTTCTGTTTAGGTTCAATAAATCATGGACAACTGTGTAGAAACTGATTGAACAAAAAGGGTATGAAATAATAGTAATAGACTTTGGTATGTGTTGGGGAGATAGCAAGCCCTGTTCAGATTCTTTTTGGTGTCTTTAAGAAACATTACTTCCTTTCAAATATGGGCCATGACTTTTCTGGAATGGGGGGGTCTTAATATCTACAATCAAAATAAGGTAAGTAGTGAGAGTTTCTTTTAACTCTTACTCCAAAAAGTGTGTGTGTGTGTGTGTGTGTGTGTGTGATTAGAGTACTATTTCTAGGTTTTATGGCTGGCTTCGGGGAAAATTTTTTCTGATTTCTATGGCTTGCCTCAGGGAAGAATGAGGGGTGAGGTGGTTGGGGTGGGGTGGGGCTGAGTCAAACTTTGCTTCTGATGTTACCAAACTCAGGTCCTGCTGCTCACTACTCAAAAGTCAATACTCAGGCTGGGATTGTGGCTCAGTGGTAGAGTGCTTTGCCTGGCTGCCTGGCACATGTGAGGCACTAGGTTCTATCCTCAGCACCACATTAAATAAATAAATAAATAAAATAAAGGTATTATATCCATCTACAACTGAAAAAAAAAAAAAGTCAAGGCCAGGCACAGGGGTGCATGCAGCTTGGGAAGCTGAGATAGGAGGATTGGGAGTTCAAGTCAAAAGTCAGCCTCTACAAAAGCTGGCACTAAACAACTCAGTGAGACTCTGTCTCTAGATAAAATTCAAAATAGGACTGGGGATGTGGCTCAGTGGTCAAGTGCCCCTGAGTTTAATCCCAGGTACCACCCCCCCCAAAAAAAGTCAATACTCATGAGACGGAGTTTGTGGAAAGGAAATCAAGTTTATTCAAGGGCCAGCACCCCAAAAGATGGAAGAAGTAATAATCCTCAAATCTCCATCTTGAGAACTTAGGTAAATGAAAGGGTTTCTTTGAGGAAGGAAAGAAGGAACAGGAGAAAATGGACAGGCAGGATATAAGCTGAGTGGGTGGATTGTTATCCTGAATGTGTATCTCTTCTCTGGGCATCTCAATGCAATGGACCTTGACCTGGGAATAGTTCCTGTAATTCTTTAGACAGACATATTAAGTTTCTGCAAGTTAAACCTCATAGCAATTTACATGCTCTGTGTTAGCTGATGCACAGAACTAAACAACAAGGTGTTAGACATTCTGATGTTATCGGAAGGTCACCAGATGTTCTGAGGTCTGCAAATATAAAGAAAGATTAGTTATTACCATCTTAAGCTTTTAGGCATGGTTTCTCTTTAGAATTTAAAATGCTTTACAAAAGGAAGGGATGCAACCTTGTAAAAAGAACAGGACAACTTGCAAAGGGAGTGGCGACTGTTACACTGAGGTCTTCACTTTAGGGTGTTATTTTCTAAACTCCAAGACACTAGTGTTGGCTTTAGGGTTTAGTGGAAAGTATTCTGAATTTAAGAGTCAGGAAATGCAGGTGATTGTCCTGACTGCTACTTACCAGCTAGATGCAAAATTGACCTTGGAACCTTATTTGTAAAGCAGGATTAATGGTAACTCCTCACTAAATTTTATTTAGTGCCAAAAAAGAGTGGAGATCTCTCTAATTCCCAGAAGAACAGTCTCCAAAGGAATTGGAACTGAATTCAAAGCAGCTCTGAGGAACTGAAGCAGGACTTCATGGATCTTCACTCTAATACCTGCCATTGATGTAATTTTGGCTGCCTTATGCAATACCGCTCCACAGCGACTGTTTCCTGTCGTGAACTACAGTCTTCCTCTCTGCCTTCGGTACTTTCTCGTTTATTATTTATTTTTATGATTTCTCATCATTTTAGCCTGCAATGAACTACCATGGCCCTACCTCATTGTCTAGACCAGGGACTAGCAAACTTTTAGCCAAATATGGCCAAGTATGGCCTGCCATCTGTTTTTGTAAATAAAGTTTGGTTGGAATGCAGTCATACTCGAAAATTCATTAATGTATTGTCTGTGGACACTTTTGGCTACAGTGGCAGCATTAAGTAGTGGTAACAGGCCCTGCGCAGTTCACAAAACTTATGTGACTCTTATCTAGACTATTTCATGGCCCTGTTCTCTAGCATTCTTTTAGTTTTGTTTTCATTGATGTGTGTGTGTGTGTGTGTGTGTGTGTGTGTGTGTGTGTGTTCGTGTGGTGCTGGGGTTCAAACTAGGATTTCATACAGGTGGGCAAGTGCTCTATTACTGAGCTACACCCCCAACCCCTCACTGATATATTCTTGAAGTATTTCTTAGTTCAAGTTCTTAGAAGAGAGAGAAGCAATATGGTTACCCTCTTTTCATGCAGGCCAGTTTATGGTATGTTCCCAGCTTTGGAAAGGCTGAATATGGGTTCCATGTCCTTTTCCACACTGTTCAATTATTGTGGCTGAAGAGATATAGGTAATACAGAGTCAGTAAATCAGACCTGCCTTGGAAGGAGGGACTGGGGTATAGTGGGCACTATGATCAACATGGTAACCCAAAATTAAATTAGATAATATATGTAAAATTATATGGTAATATGCTCCAGTCATATATCTTTATAAAGTGTTAAAAGTACTTGCCAAGTACAAAATGAAATATAGTACCCTTGAAATTAATAATATAAATCTGTGACAAAATGTGATACAACATAAGACTTCAACTCACATATCCCTGCACTACAGTGCTGTTATAACCACAGACAAAAAGTACCATGAACATTTCCCATCAGATAAAAAGCAGGTGAAGAAAAGCAGGCCCAGGTGAGCCTTAGTGTTAAGATTTCCTGAGTTTGGGCACTACTTAGATGCTAATAACCCTTATTTTTCTAATTTTGGAAAACAAACCAACTAACCAGTTCATCCATGAAAATTATGAACTCTCTCAATGAATAACTACTGTAAACACACAGTTCTGTAATGACCAGTATTTTAATAGGCTCTTCTTCCATGATTTTCCAACTTACACTGCATCTGTGTGATTGCTTATCCTATACCACCCTGTAGTGTGGTCCAATTCAGAACCTATATGGAGGGGACACCATAGTCGGGTGGGTATTTGTGTGGTACTGGGGATTGATACCAGGGTTGCTATACCACTGATCTACACCTCTGGTCTTTTTTTTTTTTTTTTTTTAATTTCTGAGATATCTTTCTGTGTTGCCTGGGTTGGTCTGGAACTTGAAACCCTCCTGCTGCAGCTTCCTGATTAGCTGGGATTACAGGTGTGTGCTACTGCACCCAGCGCCTTGACACTTTTGAAAGGGTCCTCTGTGAAGGGATGATACCTCAAGTGTACTTTACAGAGAAATATGACAGCATTTTCAATAAAAGTACTTAAAAATAACCCCTCACTGAAGAAACATGGGAAAGAAACTTTCAAATAAAGCCTGTGCCTTCTACCATGGAAAAAAACAGAGAGCAAACACATAGAATTTCCAAAATACCTTTTATTACTATATAGAAAGTCAAGAAAAAAATAGATGCATGCTTTTCCCACAAATTTATAAAATGTTCAAAATAGTTCATCTTTTTCAATAAATGTGCAAAGATAAAAGGACAAATTTAAAAGATAGAAATTTTCTTTTCCACTTAAAAGTTTTCAGGTACCTTATTTTCTTTCTCTAAATGTTCCTATGTATAAGACCTAGCAGTCACAGTTTTCTGTTGGCATTATCCAAAAAAGGACACATCAAGATAAAAATTCTATCACATTGCAGCAAAACTGACATAAGGCTTTACTCCTTCTTTTGCACTTTAAATTTGTCAGTTGTGATCAATCAAGATGATGCTGGAATTTCCAACCCAGCAGGAAAAAGAGCTTAATTAAAAATGAGACATACAATTTATCTTGTCCTTTAGAAAACAAACCACTTGTCAGTACTCCTTAAAAAGTGCAATTGCCTCCTTTGTCATTTCATTGCAAGGTCTGAGATGTGGTTTCTGAACAGCACAGCTTAAATGAAACCACATAAGTAAAGGAAAGAAAGCACTTTGGAGGGTGGATTCAGTTTGACACAAGCATAGGAAGCCGAACACTTTTGATGACATTAATTCAATAAAGTATATTCATTTGAGTTTTTCAATAAACCCTTCGAAAGAAAAGGCTTTCTTTCGTGTTGATTTAGGTGAGTGCTAAAATAAAGCTTTTTTTTTTGCAATTAGATTATGGGGTAAGTCAAGCCAGATTATCTCAGCAGATGATGTAAGCTATAATTATTTTGGGAAGTTTCAATCAGTGTTTTGGAATGATACCTGAAGCTTTCTTCTCCCCTATTCTTTGTGAGCTTTTTAATATGATATTTTTGGTGGAGATGCTTTAGGTAGGAAATATCAGCTTTTGAAAGATAAAGGCGCAATTATCCTTAGAATAAAAAGCCCATTAAAAGAAGACTCTCAAACAGAAAAGTTTTCTAGATATATTTTACTACATATCCTTTTCATAAAGGCTGAAAATGAAAGAAAAGAAGTCCTTACAATATCTAAGATTACCCTCACATTAGCCCAATTGAGAGAAAATAAAAGGTTGAGATGAAGGATGATCAAATACTTTGCAATGGAGCTATTCTAGTGCTAAATAATTAGCTGTGCACTGATCACCTCTTTCTTGGCCTATATAAAAAGAAATGGTAGCCTCACTTCTTGGGATACAGTCACCATCCCCTCTCCTCAAAATAAGCTTGGAATTTGGGGTACCTACCTGTAATAAAACATCTATTTATCAAACTGTGTGTGTGACATGCAATTACTCCTTCCACTTAGCACCCATACTAAATTTAATTGTGCTACCATGTTCTAGGCTTTGGGCTGAGCATTGCAGATCCTTCTGACACCATTAACAATTTAGGAAATAGAATTAACTGAATAAGAGGAAAACAGTGCTTAAGCAAGGAAATCTTGAATGATTATCCATGAAATTTAAGGAATACGATAGAGTCTAACTTGTATTCAGTCTTTGGAAGTAATTACCAGTTATATAAAAGAAGTCCATTAAGCACCAAAAACGTCAAATGTATTTGGTATAAACTATAAGGTTTTTATACACATTAAAATACATACATACATATATAAGTGTATATATATATATATTTTATTTTATTTTATTTATTTATTTATTTTAAGAGACAGGGTCTCATTCTGTTGATCAGGATGCCCCCAAACTTTTGAGCTCAAAGAATTCTCCTGCCTCAGCCTCCCAAACAGCTGGGACTAAAGGTGTATGCCACCACACAGAATTCTAAAATGCTTCAATTTAAGACTGCAGGAAAGCCAAAAGTCAACGAAACCCCCCCCTAAAAAACATCATTTAACTACTCTAGGTTTTAAGTCAGTTTAGAGCCTAGATAGAGGCCTCCATGCATAAAATGTTATCATCTCTAAGTCTCAATTCATTACTAAGAACCCAAAGCTCAAAACAGCCCCTGGAACTCCATGAAAATCAGGAAGGATCTTGGCTTTTGCCCCAGCAAAGGGCAGTCCATGAGAATGTTCTCTCCAAACACAAAGTTGTTCAACAGCTAAGATCCTGAAGAACGAATATTGCAATTAATTCATCAAATTTGCAAGCTGCATATGTTTTTGTTCAAACCTCTCTGTTGCCAAGACACAATTTTAAGATTAAAAGGGCATCGAGGCAGGTTAAGGCTTGTTGGCAGCAGCAGAGGCTCCCATCTATGTTCAGACACGAGAGGCCCCTATTCTTTGGCTATCTGGAGGATCACTGGGAGACAGCCACAAAGAAACACCCCTTTAGCCTCATTCCAGTCCACTTCAGCAACTGAGGTTTATTCAGGGGTACAAATTAGTATTAAACAGAAAAGTAGCACAGTGAAGTGACTGGGATCCCAGGCTGAGGAGCTGGCCTGCCAGGGTTTGAATGGCAGGCAGTTCCACTGTGGTGTTGAGGCATGTTATTAACATCTCCAGGCTTCAGATGTCTGACCTGTAAAAAGGGGATAATAACCACCCCATAAGGTCTGTCTGGGGGCTGAGGGAGCTTAGAAGAGCATCTAGCACGTAGTGTCAGGTAAGTACTTTAAACAATAAAAACAAACTTAGGAAAAGACGCTCTTTGAGATTTGTAGAGCAGTTTATGCTTCTTAAGCATTCAGGCATATTTTTTTTCTAAGAGGTCTAGAATCTAAGGAAGTCTAGGACTGAAGCTGAGTTCTAGAAAATCTTCCAAGTCTGACCAGAAAAGATCTCTTCAACTACCCATGGTCCATTGACTGCTCCAAAATGCCCTAATAAAATGCTTGTATCCAGGGCCAACATAAGCCCAAACCAACTGGAGAGGGAGCAGAAGGCTGCCAGGGGAGAAGGGAACTAATAATTTTCCTAAGGTTCCCCCAACCATACTCTTGTCATGACATCTGTGTAGCATAATGGTCTAAAACCCGTTATTTTAAAATTTTAGGACTCGTACTATCTACTTCTGAAATCACTGGGCTCCCAGGATTAACGGGAAATGACAGTGTGACAAGAGGCTAGGGAAGCTGCCAGTTTATCCAATCAATCAACTGATAAGACACATTTTGAGCATCTGTTCTGTGCAAGATATTGCACCAATACTTTGGTCCTCAACAAGCAAAAGGTACAACAAATACAAATTTTATCAGCTATTATTATATTGATCAAGTCCTTTCCAATTCAGGAATGTTCATAGGCCTCAATCCACACAGACTCTTTTCAAGAAACCCTCCTTGATGGTTACAACAAATATCGACACTCTGTAGCTCAATTATCTCATGGCTAAGTAGGAGAAGCTAAATTGTAGAGCTGGTTTTTAAAGTGGAAGCTATACTTCTGCACCTCTATAAAATTTTACATGGTGGACCTCTGGCCAACATCATCCAGGCCGGAGTTTCTTTTCCTGGTCGCTCCTTCATTGTTTAACTCTGAATCTGATCTGTCTGTGTTGTTGCCAGAGCTTATTGCTACGGCACCTTCCATTCTCTCTGTAGTGTCACAATTTGATTTAAGAAGGGTAGAATCTGGTTCTTTAGGACGTTTCCATTGTGGTCTTGAGACGATCCAAAAAATGAGGGCCCCAAACAACAGAATCAGAAGGCCAAGAGTGTTGACAAAAACACCTTCTGGTGGGAATGAATGGTATGCAGGATCTTTCCTATGAAAAAAGAGAACGTGTCCAATTACAAATAGGGTTCTACAGCAACATACAATATAGTATTGAATTCATCTGTTCAAAATGCACACTGGTGTGGCTTTAATGTAAATTCCCTTAACGCTTGATATTAAGGAGAAATTTAAGTCATGCTATAACTCACACAATGAAATATTATAAAACTGTCAAAAATCCCAAGCATGAATATGGTACCTAGAATATCTGTATCACTTAAAAATTGAAAAAGATGAAATGAAAATGTGTATACACTGTAATTGTATTAACATGAAAATATGCACATAAAAAAACTGAAAGGGAATCCATAACTTTAATAGTTGTTTTGCAGGTGATCCTTCAAAAATTTTAGTCATTTGTTCCATGTATAATACAAATTATTTTTTGTTTGTTTTTTAAATATTTGTTTTTAGTTGTTGAAGGGCCTTTATTTTTTAATTTTTTTTATTTATACATGGTGTTGAGAATTGAACCCAGTGCCTCAGACATGCTAGGCAAGTGCATCTACATGCTAGCCACTGGGCTACAACCCCAGCCCCACGAGTTATTTTTAACATAAACATTTTAAGCTTAAAATTTTTGTTTAAAAAACTGTTACATTGGGCTGGGCTGTGGCTCAGTGGTATAGCACTTGCCTAGCATGTGTGAGGCATTGGGTTTGATTCTCAGCACT